CAGGGACGCCGGCAGCGGGCAGGGAGAGGGGTAGATCTGGAAGGAGCAACTGGTGGGCTTTTCGTTGTGCCTGAGAAAGCGGTCTGCACGCTCAAAAGGCAGAATTGAGACAAGACCAATTTGCCCAAATTAGACGGTGCCTTAGTGAACATGCAGAAGTGTGGCAACCATTTAGGATCTGGAACCCAAGGATCTTGAGCAAAAAAACAGAGCTAAGATGGGGTAGAGAGCCCCAACACTACACCGTCTTTCTTCAGCCCCTAGGCTGATTTCTACCTGCCAATTCACAGCCATAGAATGTCATTACCTATGCTGGCATGGACGGGTGATGTGAAGAGTCACTCAGGTGCAGGTTTCACAGCAAAACAAAAAGGAACCAAAGGAAAATTATTTGAAATGTGGCACCCGGCAGGCCACCACATGGGTGGGGTGGAACTTTGCCATGGTGAATGCAGGCAGTGCCCCATAGAAGGGCCTTTAGCGTGCTTAACCCCCTTTCCTTTCTAGGAAGCTGCTATTAGTACTCTCATTTTGTTGTTCACATGCTGTTCTTCCTTCACAGTTTCAGTGAAGTAGCTGGGCCCAGACTGGGGAATAACCAAAAGGACCATTTGCAATGACAGATATCCTATACCTGGCTGTGATGCTAAATTCACATTAAAGTAATTCACCTGCATCGTTTCTTTCCAGTTCACACGATCACCAGGAAGCCTATGTCTTGGCATGATAATATAGAAGAGCCGGCAGATGGTAAGAAACCTCTGAACAGCTTGTGATAATTGCATAAGAAAATGACTAATAAATAAGATTAAAAAATTCCAATTAGTCTAAAAGATTACATATGTGGAAACACCCCTATGACAACAGAAGAAAGTTAAACTCATTCATGATTTTTGTTAAACGTAAGGCAGGGTTTTTTCCACTTTAAGGCCCTTTGCCATTACTTTTCATTATCAGTATAAAGTTGCATTCATGGAGTTATGCTTTTATTCTTGTTTTTAGTTATCATACTATAAAATTCTGCTTGGGAATCTAAACCTCTTTCAGGGGAAAACAAACAAAACACCTAGAAACATGTTTTATACATATGTGTTACCTGTCATTGCAGATTCTACCTAACCACTGCATACAGTAAACTCCTGAAACAGCTGCTGAGTCTTGCTTTATAACTTGCTTAATAACAGGAACCCTTATAGCAGCTGCTCCCTTATTTCTAACATGCCAATTTTGTCTAAAAACCTTAACAGTCAGTTGAGGTTGGCCTGCTCTAGTCAAGGATGGGGTGGAGAGGTGGGGTGCAGAGAAAACCAAAACAGGGAAAGGCAGCGGGTCTCAGGTAACTGAGAAAGACAACAGCTAACGTGGAGCACTGGCTGATATTAGATGTGGTATAAGAAAAGTAAGATGCTGCAATACAGTAGAGAGGGATGACAGAATTAACAGGACAGTATAGGCAGGCAAATCGTGAAACTTCATCAGGACAAATTTCAGTAGAAATGTCACCCTGCATTCTCTTACAGGATCATTCACAAAAGCACAGAGGTTGCCTCCAACCTTCGCTTTCTTGCTATTGCTTGGACAGCATTAAGATGTCCCATTCTAAACACACATCCACAGGTGACTGGTTTTTAAATGTACTTTCTTTCATTTGTATTTGTGTCTCTTAAACCAACAGCCAAGTTTCTGAATCTTATTCACCACGCAGCGCTGGAGCCAACAAAGAAATATTCCGAGCCACAAACTGAAAGCCAAGAAATTGGCTGGAACACAACACCTTTGGTGAGTAGGGTGCTTAAAGACTCAGCTCTTTGCAGGATTCAGAGAGGTTCAGCCCATCACACTGAAAGATATTCATGCAAGAAAATCATTTGTGACAAACATGGAAAACAGGAATGACTAGGAATGAGCAGAGCCATTTGTGGACAAGGTTTTAAAATTTGTTTTCAGAAACCTAAGAGGACTCTTCACACTGGCATAGGCTTGTGAACAGAGAAACAGCAGACTTCCCCCGAGAAACTTGCATGCAAAATATCTACAGTGACAGTCGACCCCAAGCATATTGCCAAATGCCACATATGTAGTCACGGCTGTTTATTAAAGCAGTCAGCCATGAGAAATGGCATAGCAGGCAATGTGAAGTGACATACATAAGTACTGTGAAAAGAAATGTGCTGCTGTACAGTATCTTTCAAACAAATTGCAAGCAGAACCATAAAATTAATAATCAGCTAAGTAAACCCGAGGCAGAATACACCAGTGAGGATTCATTTGGGGAAGCGTGAATAAACAGGAGGAAAATAAATCTTATTAACAAGCTGAGACATCAATTATATCTGACAAACTAATAGCTGTGACGATGACTGACTTTGTAGATTAGTGTTTAGAGAAAGGCAAATGAGGGTCTGATTAATTTTGGCCTGTTACAAAGACAACTAAGATAAATAAGAAAATAAGATAGTCTTGTGCAACTTTTCATATTACACTTCAGGTAAACTAGTTACTCATGAGAAGGCTAGAGGCAGACACCCCAGTAGGGCTTTATGCTGTTGGACACTGGTGGTAGGATTAGGCTGGCAGGAAAGAGGCAGCTAAATTTGCATGTAGGGAAGCTAGTTAAATTTATAGAGTCAGGACTCATGACACTGCTTCATACATTAAGTTTTCCTTTTTCACCAGGTTCTACCATAATGAAGCATTGAACAGTGTATTCTCAAATTAAGTGGTACCCTACTCGTTTGTCATTTGGGCATTTCTCAGCAGCAAGAACACTGTGCATCACTCTTCTCAGGAAGGGCTACTACTACTAATTCTAGTAAAAGCACATCACTATTCATCATTTTTCTTTCCCAGATTGACGTGGACCGTACTGATTGCAGACTCTACTTCCCACGCCGGAGAACCGAGATCACTAAGTAAAGGGCTGCCATGGGGCATGGGGAAGAGCCGTCTGAGAACCTGCCGTAGTAGAGTGGCAAAGCCACACAACTTAGAAGCAGTTAATGACATCTAATGTGTCAGGCCCTCCTTGTTATTAGGCGAGTCTGGTAGATTTCTGGCAAGAGAAGACAGCAACAAAAGGGAAGAGAGAACCTCAGACTGTCCAGATTTGCAGCCTGACAATAGTTACAGAAATAAACCTATTTTATAAGATTTCTGCATTTGTCTCACTGCTGTTTCCAAACCCATCTATGTGAACAGTCTAAAAAACACTTCTAACATCTTGACAGGCTTCAGGCTTCCTATGCTGACATCGGCAACATGACCCAGAACTCAAGTTCACCAAGTACATGTCAACAGTAGCTGTGGAAAAAGCTGTCAGAACGAAGGGAACAAAGGGCAAGCTTCAGCCACCATTCATAACACAACTAAATGTGAATTAGACGTAGTTCTGTGCAAACCATTTAATGCGTTCACACACCAAAGGTTTAAGTAGAAAACAATCCTTCAACAAAACAGACAGTAAGAAGAAATTAGCGATAAGGCACTGGTTTCCACTGTCTTTTTTCCTTGCCACTTGGAAGCATCCAGCTTGCTCCACAGTTAGCTGCTTGGTGACAGCAGAAACACATCTTGCAACACACAGAAACACAGGAACCCCACCGGGGAGCACAGTCCTCTTATCGCGCTCGGCTCTTCATTTTCTGCCTTGTTCTTTTTCCAGGTCTCTTCTGCAAAAAAAGGACATATTCAGATCTTTATTTTCATGTCCTCAAGCTTTGTTCTAGCTCTACAGCTTGGGGAGGATACCAAGGAGAGGATATTTGTCAGCACCTCTGGAGAGGGAGGTTTTGGGACACAGGTAGCAGCAAACAGCACTTGCTAACTCCCCCACTCATTTCCCTGCTCAGACACCGAACCACCATCCTCAACTCTGTCTGCAACTGAATTATGCCCAGCTCCCAAAGACAGACATTGTCCCTTCCACATGTTGGAGGCACCCACCACGCACTCAGCTCTCCCTCCCTGACCAGGGCTGGCTTCCTAGCCAACCAGGATCATTTCCATGCAACATTTTACTTACATTGAGGGCTTTTTTTCCTCCTTTTCCTCCTTTTCCTGGGCCTTTGTTGTGAGCCACTTTTGGCCGGAAACTGGATACATCATTAAAACTCTCCTTTGTGTTCCACTTTGAGCCTTTCTTCTTCCCACCAAAACCAAACTTCTGATTCTTGTATCGTCTTTTGGCATTTGGTCTGAAAAACAACCGAACAGCATCACTGCCTGTATTCCTTTCCTCAGGAAGCTCTCAAGAAGGCACAGGTATCTGCTATCATAAACCTCTCCGCTCTTATTGAAGAGGCAGAAATTAGCACATCTCAGTCTCTGTTCCATTCTGGCCACAGCTTTCCTCCTCTCTAGGGACAGAATGCCACCTCAGACTTATTTTAACAAACACTAATCAGACAGCTTTCTTGTTCCACAAAATGATCCCCTAAAAGACTGAAAAAAATCAGAGATTCTGCATTTAAATATCTTTCTTTCCTGGTCTCACCCCTTCTTTATCCGTTGACTTGCACTGCCTTTTTTATTCCCCTGAGACGACGTCTGCTCTTCATCTAGAAAATCCAGTTTGTCAGAGAGACCTGCAAGAACAAAGACATAACAGTTGTTCAGCTACCACCACAGAAAATATGAATCTTCAGCCTAAGCAAGTAAGAGCAATAAGTCACCCTCACTGAACAACAGCTACTTGGGAGGATTTTCACTGCCACTGGCGTATGATTCTGCACAGCAGCAGCCTTTCAAGCTCACTGGTCAGCACTACAGATTGACACGACACATCACACTGCCTTACATCGCTCACCCATCACTATTCCCATTATACATTTTCTCTCTCAGACAAGTTAACTTTACCTTTCTGGTATTTCTTGACTGCATTCAACATATTTTTTTTCTCCTTTTGTCTCCTCTGCAGAATCTCAGTTTGTACCTGAGATTAGAAGCACAATGTTAGTGTTGTTCCTTGCAGTGTCCCATACTTTTTTTTTTCTTTTTTTTCCCCTTTCTTTATTTTAAGGTACCCCATCTTTTGTTCTGTCTTCCTTCAAAGCAGCTAGACAGAAGACTAGACAGATTCCATATATTTTAGCCAGCCTCCAGTGGTCTCACTTTCTAAGCTCCTCACTCAGGCTCTAGATTCTTGTCAGATAGGTCCCTTTTGTAGCTCCTCCTCACCTTCTTGCCATATTTTCTCATTGCACGGAGCTGTTTCGCTTTCTCAGACCTCTCCATTGCTTCCTGTTTACTCTTAAGCTTCTGTCGAATCTTATTAGGGGATAGAAAAAACAAAATTTATCAGTAACACAGAAGAAAATCTGAGAATTTTATGATTGCTGTGCAGTCCTGAAATCAGTAATTATGTGAACTATCGATGAGTGTAAAAAAGGAAACATCTCTCAATCAGATAATGCTTTGTAAGGCATAACGTTCTTTCAACTCAAGGCTGGAACAGTTATTACAGAAACTCCTGAACTGATCTGTAGCCAAAATCTGGTTAAAAAGACAAAACTCACACAGAGGCAAGACAAAGCCTTACAATGGGCTCTAATGGAACCGCTAAACAAGAGTATCTTGTCACATTTTTGTCAGTTTACTCAGGCATATGTAGAAGACTTGACAGTTTCTTTCTTGTCATTATTAAAAGTAAAGCACTGAAGAAGAGTCAACGACCCTTCTATGCCATAGGAAACATCTTTTTCGTTCCCTCCTTGTTCACAAACATTTCCATAAGGATGCTGCATTACAAGGGATTACAGAGATTTCAACACAGATCTTCTGGATTCAGTCTGTGACTCCACTAGGAGAGAAAAACTGTTCTTCAAGCAGAAGCCAGCAAAAGAAGGTAACAGTAGCGTACAGAATTGACTTAAGCCTCAGCATAAGTTAATTATTAATCTTCATCTTCTCTAGGAAGGTTCTATCAGCTGTCAAAACAGTGACCAAGTCATACATGAACCTCCAAATTAGACTCCAGCTCATGTTTGTTTAACTTAGACAATGTAGCCTTTTTTCCAAAACTAAAACAAAAATTAGGGTTCCGTTTTGAACAAAGACCACAATCAAGAAGCAAGTTCGTGAAATTCTTATTTCCTACACAAATCTGACTTACTACCCATGACAGATTAATTCAATAACACACAGTTTAAAATCAGAGAACCAAAACACACTGAGTATAAACAAAGGGTGATACTTAAAACAGGGAAAAAGGATCATGTTAATGCCACAGCTGACTGCAAGTCTTAGGCCAAAGAGCATAAACACAGCCAACTTTACAACCACTGTCACACATACAAAGAAAAAGTCTCAATTTTTAATATTAAATACATTCAGGGCAGAATATAAATCATGCTTTTCTACTTTATGTTCCAACCTGTGACGGAAATCCCTACATTGCACTGAAATACCTAAATAGGAAGAAGTTTCCTGTCACAAACAAAATTTCAAACACAAACAGTCACAGGCATTTGTCAAAGAGATGAAGGTAAGTATTCACAAATCACACCTCAAAGTTAATCCCTAACACAGGCTAAAACCAACACATAACACGAGAAAGCAAGCTGTCATTCACTGCACATACCTTCTGCATCTGTTGGTCTGATTTGGCCATCTCTGCAAAGTAATCATCCGGCCTTCTAGTAGGAACTTGGAGCTTACGCAACCTAGGTAGGGCTTCCAGGACGGCTGCCTGAGCCTGCCGGTAACTAGGGAGACAGCACAGCACCAGCTCTATCACTGGGTATCGAGATCTCGCAGCGCTGACAGAAACTGCTCACATAAGCTAGCTGATACAGGGATCTAACAAGCATTGGTCTAGAATTATATCAACATTCTGTGCCCTGTAGCATTCAGTGCTACTAAAAGGAATTTAGGTGCCAGTACAATATTAAACCTTATATCCTGCAGATATACATTTATCTAGTTTCCAGTTACAGTTGGATATATATATGTTGGATTATAAAAGGCAAGGCAAAACATGAGAACTGTAATAACACCAAAACAAATCCACAAAACAAAATCCATAGCCTGTGTTAAAGCCGTAGTGCTACAACCAAAGAACTTTTAAAATAAACTTTTCAGCAAAGGATGGAAGTCTGCTGTGAGGATGGAAATTACTTCCAGTCACAAGACAAATTAAATATACTAGCATTAATTTGTAGTTATCTTGGAAAACATTCAGAGCCATCAAACATAAAATACATGGCCCAAGAGTGACTTGATACGGGTGACAGCCAGTGTGGCAGTCCGCAGCACACCTGCATGACACCAAGCATGCAGCAGCGTGATGAGACCCTACACGTAATCTCTGTTTTTGACACTTACAAGCTCATCTCTCTCTGGAAATCATTCTCAGGGTCAACAGCATCTTTGTTCGAAGTACTCCCCAAGACGGGGTCCACAACCTGGCCCGAAGTCACATCCAGCCTTTCCACCCAAGCCAGCTGCTGCTTGAAGTCGGACAGGCACTGCTTCAGGCCGTCCTGCGGAAGAAGCACAGCTCTGCACTCCGCCACAGAACCGCCTGCCCCAGCCGG